TCCGTCCATGTCGTAGCGTGTATCAGCACTTCGTTCCTTTTTTATGGCTGTATAATACTCCATTGTATGGTGTTATGGATTGAATCGTGCCTCCAAAAAAGTGATGTTGAATGTGATCCTGTTTAGAAATAGAGGCTTTCTTTTGTTAAGTTAATGAGGTCATACCTGAGTAGAGTGAGTCCTAAACCTAATCCTTTCTGAGAGGTGTCTTCAGGGACAAATTATACAAGAGGCAAGGTAAGCACAGTACTTATCTTGCTTATCAGATCATTTGTAGTGAACAGTTTCACATTTTTTCACCGCATCAAAGATTCTGCTTCTAGGTATGGCTGGCATCTATCTCTCCTAACTCCACAGCACCTTCCTTCAGAATCAAAGCCTCTTTTCAAATTTACAGTCCCTGACAGATGCGGATGACCCAATAAGCAAGGTAAGCACGGGCTTACTTGCGCTTCCCAGATCATCTGATTTGGACTTTTAGCCTCCAGACTTGTGAGGAAATAAATTTCTGTTCTTTAAAGCCACCCATTTGTGGTATTTATGTTACATCAGCTCTAGGTAACTTAAAAAAAAAGAAGTTTCTGTAGAGTGGATTCCAACTCATGGCGAGCCCATGTGCATCAGAGTAGAACTGTGCTCCACAAGGTGTTCAATGTGATTTTTCAGAAGTAGATTGCCAGGTCTTTCTTCCGAGGCACCTCTGGGTAGACATGAACCTCCAACCTTTTGGTTAGCAGCCAAGCATCTTAACTGTTTGTACCACCTAGGGACTCCTCTAGGTAACTAAGACATATGGGTATACCACATTATCATCCACTGAGGGACACTACATCTCCATTTTAGGATTGAGAAGGGTCTCATCTCCCCTTGCCCCCTCTCTTTGCTCATCCACCACTTCCCTGATGGCAACAGTCCTAATCCTGTGGGCTAGTGTCCTGGATTGGTGTCTTAGTCATCCAGTGCTGCTATAACAGAAATACCACAAACGGATGGCTTTAACAAACAGAAATTTATTCTCTCACAGTCTAGGAGGCTAGAAGTCTGAATTCAGGGTACCGGCTCCAGGGGAAGGCTTTCTCTGTAGGCTCTGGAGAAAGGTCTTTTTCATTAGTCTTCCTCTGGTCTAAGGGCTTCTCAGCGCAGGGACCCCGGGGCCAAAGGACACGCTGCTCATGGCAGTAGTTTCTTGGTGGTATGAGGTCCCCCTGCCTCTCTGCTGACTTCTTTTTTATATCTCAAAAGAGATTGACTTAAAACACAACCTAATCTTGTAGATTGAATCCTGCCTCATTAACATAACCTCCTCTAATCCTACCTCATTAACATCATAGAAGTAGGAATTACAACACGTAGGAAAATCACATCAGATGACAAAATGGTGGACAATCACACAACACTGGGAATCATGACCTAGCCAAGTTGACACATATTTTGGGGGGACACAATTCATTCCATGATAGTTGGGTTCTAGAAGAGCAGGCGCCGAGGTAAGGATGTGAGGACATGACTCAATCAGGAGGTAAACCCAGGAAACACTGGAGGGAGACAGAGAAGGAACGTGCCTTAGTTTCCTATTGCTGCTGTAACAACAAAATACCACAAGTGGGTGGCTTTAAAGAACAGGAATTTATTGTCTCACAGTATTGGAGACTAGAAGTCCAAATCAGGACATTGGCTCTAGGGGAGGGTCCTTCTTTATCTTATTCAACTTCTGTAGTCCTGGCGTTCCTTGGAGTTCTTTGGCTGCTTGTACATGTATCTTCGCATGGCATCTCTCCTCCCCCTGTGTGTGTCTATGTCTATCGTGCTACTATATAAGACACCATCCAGAAGGGAAGCAGCTCTGGTGGCACAATGGTTAAGCACTTGGCTGCTAACAAAAAAGTCTGTGGTTCGAACCTACCAGTGGCTCCATGGGAGAAAAGACTTGGCAATCTGCTCCCATAAAGACTCCCAAACCCCCTAAACCCACTGCCACTGAGTTGATTCCGACTCATAGTGACCCTATAGGACAGAGTAGAACTGCCCCATAGGGTTTCCAAGGCTGTAAATCTTTACGGAATCAGGCTGCCACATCTTTCTCCTGCCATAAAGATTACAGCCTAGAAAACACTATGGGGCATTTCTACTCTGTCTCATGGGTCACTATGAATTGGAATTGCCTCAAGGGCACCCAACAACAACAACCCAAAAGAAATTAGGTTTAGAACCCACCGTACTCTGGTATAACCTCATTAACATCAAAGAAAACCCCTGTTTCCAAATAGGGTCATATTTACAGGTACAAGGGTTAGGATTACCACATATCTTTTTAGGAGACACAGTTCAGTCCATAACAAGAAGGAAAATATCAAGGGTATGTTGAAGAGTCGGTTGCCCCTATGAGCAATACCGCTGGGGATCTCTCAGGGACTATGTAGAACCTGCCTTGAGTTGTCCACCTTGAGAGTGAGGAAACTGGGGTCTGTCATGGATTGAATTGTGTCCCCCCCCCAAAATATCTGTCATCTTGGCTGGGTCATGATTCTCAGTATTGTGTGATTGTCTACCATTTTGTCATCTCATGTGATTTCCCTATGTGTTGTAAATCCTATCACTATGACGTTAATGAGATGGATCAGCGGCAGTTATGTTGATGAGCTCTACAAGATTAGATAGTGTCTTAAGCCAATCTCTTTTGAGATATAAAAGAGAGAAGCGAGCAGAGAGAGAGGGGGACCTCATACCACCAAGAATGAAGAGCAGGAGCAGAGCATGTCCTTTGGACCCGGGGTCCTTGCGCTGAGAAGCTCCTCGACCAGGGGAAGATTGATGACAAGGACCTTCCTCCAGAACCCAGAAGAGAAAGCCTTCCCCTGGAGCTGATGCCCTGAATTTGGACTTGTAGCTTACTAGACTGCAAGAGAATAAATTTCTCTTTGTTGAAGCCATCCACTTGTGGTATTTCTGTTATAGCAGCACTAGATGACTAAGACAGTTTTCATCCATAACTGCCATCCGCTGATGGTTGAGGTGGTTTCCAGGGGTCTTCACTCTCTAGCATGTCATGCCCTGGTCAGAGAGCTCATTCAAACAAGGGGCGGCAGGAGCCGGCAGGTGAAGCTGCTGTTGGGTCGTAAGGGATATTAGGGGTTGAATTGTGTCCCCCTAAAATATGTGTTGTAAATTCTTACCTCTATTCCTGTGGTTATAATCCCATTTGGGAATGGCTTGTCTTTGTTATGCTAATGAGGCAGAATTAGTGTAAGGTGTATCTTGAGTCAATCTCTTCTGAGATATAAAAGAGATTACACTAGCAAGTGAGCAAGCAGAGATGGGGGAAGAGAGATGCCAAGCTACACAAAGATCACCCAAGAGCAGAAGCTCAGAAGAGACAAGGAGCTTCCTCCAGAGCTGACAGAGAAAGAAAGCTTTCCCCTAGAGCTGATGCCCTGAATTCAGACTTCTAGCCTCCTAAACTGTGAGAAAATAAATTTCTGTTTGTTAAAGCCCCCCACTTGTGGTATTTCTGTTACAGCAGCACTAGATGACTAAGACAAAGGGTATGAGTAGGGCATCAATAGCCTCTACTATGGTTACCTCTGGGAACAGGGAGCTCACTATCTCCCACCTCTGGTGGGAAAATGCTTGGGTACCAGCGAGGGAAGGCACTGGCTGTACCGGGGTCTCCCTCTCTCCTGCTCAATGCCCCCAGCTCCCTTCTTAGCGCCTACCTCCTCCATCTCCTGCCATTCTCTGAGGACCGAAGTCAGACTCAAGGGAGAACTTCCGGGCACACAAGGCTGGGGGAGAGAAGGAATGGGTTCCCTAGGGCTGAGAGAGGCTCGGTCCCCAGTGCCCCCCCAAGGCATCTACCCTCTTTCTCCTCCTCCCCTCACTGTCTGCCTTCCTGTTCCCCTGCTCTCCGGCTGCCATTCTCTCCCCAGCGGTGGAGGGAGGGAAATGCCACAGATGATGGATGGATTGAAAGGGGCAGTTGGGGTCAGCGGAGGAGAGACCTCAGGGCTGGAGGGGAAGAAGCATGAAAAAGAGGGAGGGAGTGGAGGGTCGCAGAACAAAACATGGGGGCGGGTGACAGAGATAAAGAGAGGAGACAGAAATAGATGCAGAGAGAGGAAGCCCAGAGACTTAGAAACACAACACCGAGGGGGATGGAAGAGAGAGAGGCAGAGAAGATTTAAATCAATCCTCAGCTGCTTAACCAACAGGCAACCAGAGAGAGGCAGACACTTGGGGGGGGTGCAGAGAGGAGAGCAGAGACCAAAGAGAAACAGAGATGGACAGAGGGCGACCAGCAGGGCGAGGTGAGGTGACAGAGACAGAGAGAGAGATGGAGAGACAATGAGAGGCAAAGACACACAGAGACAGACAGAGACATAGAGAGGCAGGGACAGAGACCAAGAGAGGCAGAGACATAGAGAGACCAAGAGAGGCAGAGACATAGAGAGAGACAGAGACAGATATAGAAAGATAAAGAGCAGCAGACATAGGCAGAGACAGAGAGGCAGAGTCAGTGACAGATAGAGAAAAAGAGATATAAAGACACAGAGAGAGCTAGAGAGAGACAAAGAGACAGAGAGGTATAGAGAGATATAAAGAGACAGAGATACAGAGACAGAAAGATAAAGAGAGACAGACATAGAAAGAGACAGAGACAAAGAGAGAGAGGCTGATTGAGAGAGAGAGAGACAGACAGACTGAAAAAGAGACAGACAGACCAGTCGGAGGCAGGGAGAAAGACAGTAAGAAGCAGACAGGAAAGCAGGGAGGTAGGGAGGGCGAGGCGCTGGGGAGGCGGCAGAGGCAGGGAGAGAAGGCGGCAGAGGAAGGAGCTTCAGAGAAAAAGGAGAGCAGGGCAGGGGGACTAGAGACGGCGAGGGAGACACGGGAAGAGGAGGGTGGGAGACGGGGGTCCCAGCCCAGCCGTGGCCGCCGTGTGACTGGGGGGGGGGAGGGGCGGCGCCGCGGTGACAAATGAGGCGCCCGAGCGGCCGCGGGTGATGGATGAGCTCGGCCGGCGGAGGGGCGGCACGGCTGGGGGACCCACCAAGATCAATGTTTCCTTTTCCTGGAGCCTGGCCAGGGACGGGGAGGCCGTGGGGATGCTGGGCAACGCGTTTATGAAAGGCTTGGGGTGGGGGAGAGACAGAAAGACAGAAACCCGGGGACCAGGCCGCGCAGGGAGAGGCAAAGAGAGAGGGAGACGCAAAGATGGAGGGACAGAGGCCCCCAGAACAAGGAGATGGGGCGGGGTGGGGTGGGGGGACTCAGCGAGAGACAGAGAGGAAAAGGTAACAGAGAAAGAGGCTGAGAGCGAGAGAGTGAGAACGAGACAGACAGAGTGACAGAGACGCATACAGAGAGAGGGGAAGACAGAGGGAGAAAGATGAGAGCAAGAGAATAAAGAGAGGCAGAGAGACCAAGGGAGAGACAGAGAGGTGGAAAGAGAGACAGAGACACAGAGACAGAGAGAACAAGATAGAGAGAGACTGAGACCAAGAGAGTGAGAAGGAGAGACAGAGATACAGACAGAGACACAGAGAGATTATACAGAGAAAGAGAAGATGGAAGGAGAGGTACAGGTAGCACACACACACACACACACACACACACACACACACACACACACACACAAACACCAAGATAGAAACAGAGCGACTGGGAGGGCCTCTCCTTTCGGATCCCTTCTTTCCCTGCCCTCAGTGGAGACACAGAGCCTCAGAGAGCCTCTAGGAGTGAGGGAGGAGGGAAAGAGACAGCAAAACAAAGATGGTGAGAAAGAGGGGAAACTGAGGCAGCGAGCTAGCAGGGACCAGAGAAAAGACCAGACGGAGCCCTGAGTGGGTCCTGCTCTCTCCTACTGCTCCCTGCAGCCTCTCAGAGCTGGTCCTGGGGTCCCTGGAGGTGGGGCTGCCTGGTGGGCACAGCCTCTGTAGTCTAGTGCTGAGGTGAGGGACAGAGGTGAGTGCCCAGGTCCCTGAGAGGTCAGCAGCCAAGGTGGGCAAAGGGAGAGACCTGTGTCAGGGAGATCTGGGGGGATCCCCAAATTTACTTATAGAAGGCTCAAGGGGTGGGGGAGGCCTGGGGATCTTCCCATCTGTTTAATGGGGCGGGGTGGGGACTAGAGGACTGAGACCCTTTCCAGGACTGGCACTCATGGGGTGGGTGGTCTGCACCCACTTTGAGACACACATGCACACACACACACACACACACACACACACACACACAGCCAGAGAAGCACTGACGTGCAAATAGAGACCCAAACGTTACGCTCGCATCCCAAATGCGCCCACACCTGGGCAAGCATGGGGCACCCACCACTCAAGGACCCAAGGACCAGAGCCTGGGCCCCACCTGCTCCCTCCCCTGGGGGCGGAAAAGTCCAAGGTCCCTTAAAGGGAGACGGCTTGGAAGAGGAGAACTTGACTTCAGAAAGGGGGACAGATTGTGTGTGTGCCTGCGTGTGTGTGTGTGTGTGTGTGTGTGTGTGTGTGTGTGTGTGTGTGTGTGAGAGAGAGAGAGAGAGACAGGCAGACAGACAGACAGAGCCTGGGTGCCTCCTCCCTCTCTCCTCCCTCCTTCATCAGTCTCTCGGAGTCATTCCTGTTATCCTTTTCCCAGTACCTTGTGCCTTTCTTTAATGAAGAAGATTTATCCCCAAGGGTTCAAGCCCTTCCTCCTTGTTTTGGGGGCTGGAGGATCCTTCTGAGCTCAGAGTAATGGAGGAAACAAGTCTAGAGTCTATGTCTCCTCTGTCTCTCTCTTTGTCTCGCTGTCTGTCCCTGTCTCTCCCTCTGTCTCTGTGTCTGTTTCTCTCTGCCTGTCTCTCTGCTTCTTTCTCCCCCCCTTCACTCTCCCTCCCTCCTTCTCTCTCTCTCTCTCTCTCTCTCACACACACACACACACACACACACACACACACACACACACACACACACACACAGTCCCTGTGTCTGTCCATCTCTCTGTCTCTTCCCCGCCCAGCTCTGTCTGTTTCTCTCTGTAACTCGGTAAGGACCTGGGCTCTCTTCTCGGCCTCCGTCTGTCAATCTCTGGTTTTGCCTTTCTCTTAGTCACACCCCGCATTGGAGTCACATTCCTTCCCACCCCATTTAAGGCATGGTCCCCTCCATGTTTCTGTCCGCTCACCCTCGCCCCCAGAGGCCACACTTTGTGTTTTCAGAATCAGCTGGGACAAGGCAAGGGGCCCTCTGCACACCCCACCCAAGAGGAGACGCGAGGCGAGGCTGGGAGCCCAGACCCTGCGTCCCCCACCCTGAGCCTCGGTGCGGGTGGGGACGGGACGGAGGGGGCAGACAGAAGAGCATTGTATCAGTAATTAAAAAGTGATTTGTGTTAACTTTCTGCTCCAAAACACTGATCTGGGGAGCAGAGGGTGTGTGGCGGTGACTAGGGCTCTCCAACCCCCTTCCCCTCCTCCTTCCTTAAAGGGCCAGTGACTCCCAAAGGACCTTCAGGAAGCGCCCACACTGAGTGAGCCATGGCGTGGGACCCCGGACTCAGCCACGGTTCCTAGAGTCCTGCTACCCTCTAGTTTAACTGGTTCCCCATCATCCCCATCCACCCTGCCCACCGCCCATTGAACAGATGGGAAGACTGAGGCTCAGAGGGGAAAGAACTTGTCTGAGGAGGGTCCAGACCTTAGATCCCTAGGGAAGCCCTGGAAGTGGCCTAGGAGGAGGGTCAGCACATGTTTACAGGGTCAAAGGACAAAGGGTTGGGGACCCAGAGAGAGAAAAGACAGGAGAGAGAAAGGAAGAGAGAGAAACAGGGACAGAGATCCTAGGTGAGAGAGACAGTGACGGTGTGTGAAAGAGAGAGATGGAGAGGAGGGACAGACAGAGATAGGGAGAAAGAGACAGAGACAGGGAGAGACACACAGAGAGAAACAGAGACAGAGATAGAAAGGGGAGACAGACAGGGACAGGGAGAAACAGAGAGACAGAGCAGAGAGATACAGAGACAGAGAGAGCTAGAGAGAGAAAGAAATGTGGAGGTGAAGCAGAGTCCTGGGACCCCTGGGGCTCAAGGGGCGTCATCCCCTCCTTGCCCTCCCTCCACAGCCTCCAAGCCCACCCTGTCCAGAAGTGCTGCTGCTTTTCTAACCACAATCCCTGATGCTGGAGCTCCAACTCCTCTCACCCGCTGCCCCCCTGGCCTGGGTAGTTTGGTTTATTTTCCACTTGATGGAGGAGGGAGGAGACACAGGACACAGCAGGCATAGGGCTGTTTATGAGGGTCATAAAATATACCCTAGAGAGCTCAGCAGGGTTGGGCGCACAGCCTCCAACTCCTCTCAGCCTCTCTCTCTCTGGGTCTCTGTGTCCCTCTCTCTGGGTCCCTGTCCCCCCCCCCAAGTCTCTGTTCCCCTCTCTCTGGGTCTGTGTCCCCCTCTCTCTGGGTCTGTGTCCCCCTCTCTCTGGGTCTCTGTTCCCCTCTCTCTGGGTCTCTGTCCCCCTCTCTCTGGGTCTCTGTCCCCTTATCTCTGGGTCTCTGTCCCCCCCTCTCTGGGTCTGTGTCCCCCTCTCTCTGGGTCTCTGTCCCCTTATCTCTGGGTCTCTGTCCCCCTCTCTCTGGGTCTGTGTCCCCTTCTCTCTGGGTCTCTGTCCCCCTCTCTCTGGGTCTCTGTCCCCCCTCTCTGGGTCTGTGTCCCCCTCTCTCTGGGTCTCTGTCTCCCTCTCTCTGGATCTCTGTCCCCCTCTCTCTGGATCCCTGTCATTTCTCTTAGGTGCTCTCCCTCTGAAGCAGGGGTCAAGTACTCCTTTGTGAGATTAGGACAAAAAAAATCTCCCTGAAAAAACACACATAAGCACCAAGTCCACAATTTTCTGTGCAATTTTAGGGGGTTCACAGGTCTCCTGACCCCCCCTCCCCCAGGAGGTTAAAGATCTCTAATGTAGAAAAAGCCAGCAAGAGAATGAATTCCAGATGTCTCTCTCTTCTCCCGCAGGCTCCCCTGCCCTCGCTGGACTGGAGCACACTGGGCACATTCCTGCCTCAGGGCCTTTGCTTCTGCTCTTCCCCATTCAGAACACTTCCCCCAGATGTCCCCATGTCCCCTCCCTCGCCTCCTTCAGGTCTCTCCTCAGGGGTTAGCTCATCTGAGAGCTGTGCCTGGCCAGATTATGTAAGTCCTATACATCCTCTCCCTTCTCTTCTGGTTTGTCTTCAGAGCAGCTGTCACCTCTACGCATTTATTATTTTGACTTGACTGTTCTCTCCTTCTCCCCTCCCCCTGCAGTAGAATGTAAGTGCCAAGTGCCGTGAGCTCAGGAAGAAGTTTGTCTTTCATTCCTTGCTGCCATATCTCCCATACACTGCCTGGCACATAGTAGGCACTCAGTAAATTGTTGTTGCACACAAATCTTTTCCCTTGATCTCATTAGAACACCAGTTGCAAAGCTTGTCTGGATCCCAGACCCCTCCAGGAACAGGATAAAAGTTGTGGACCTTCTCCCCAACATATATGGATATCAGGCTTGTGATTTTGCCACCAAGTTTGGGGACTCCAAAGACTCTGAAAGCAGTTAAGGGGACTTGGAGCTAAGAACCTTCTAAACGGCAGAGGTCAAAGATAGGCAGAGGGACAGTGATTCACATACACACACACACACACACACACACACACACACAGTGTGCTAACATCTCCATGCCTCAGGCAGGCACACACACGCATCGGATACTCACCACATTCAGACAGAAACGACATGCAGTCACTCCTACACACACACACACACACATACACACACACACACACACACACACACACACACACACGCACGCACGAACGCAAGTACGGCACCCCTAGGGCACAACCCGCCCACTAGACACACAGCAGGGGACAAACACACACAGATGGCTGCAAACAGGCACAAGAGTGTCCTTGTCTCCCAGGGGAGGGAGAAAGGGGGAGCAGAGCAAGAAGAGAAACTGAAATATGGGGGTTTGGTTCCTTCCTGCCTCCTGCTCTTGCCTGATTCCATCAGAGCCAGAGAGAGAGAGAGGGGAAAGAGAGAAAGGATGAGGAGGGGGCAGAGAGTGACTAATAAGAGGGCCTGTGGGGGACAGGGAAAGGCCCGGTCAGAGTGAGACAGAGGGAAAGGAATCCAGTGAGAGACAGAGAGTGCAGAGATGCGTGGGGCCAGAGACCGGGAAGACAGTGGAGGTAAGGGGAGAGAGAGGGAGAGAGAGATAGGCAGGGATAGACAGGGACAGAGAGAGACACAAGACTAGAGAGGGACTGTGAGGGACAGTGACAGAGAGAAAGAGACAGGAATAGACAGGGACAGTGACAAAGAGAGATGAAGACGTAGAGAGAACCAGGGAGACAGTGGACGTGTGGAAAGAGACAAGGAGAGGGGAGAGGGCGACAGAGCCCTGTGGTGGCCGAGAGCGGGGAGGAGACTCGGGGCGGGGCGGGGATGGGGAGAGAGAACCCGCAAGAGGGAGGCCGGCGAGGTGGGGACCGAGGAAGACGAGGCGCTGAGACTCGGCTACAAAGCCCACCCGGAGAGCCCGGGGAGCCGGCGGGGAGGGGGCGGGAC